CAGAAACCTGCCTGCTCCTCTCCTAAATGCTGCTCTATGTCTTTCTCCAATCGTTCTTTCAAGATCGTCAGCATGATCTTGCACATATGAGGGATCAGTGCTATTGATCTGTAGTTGTTGCAGTCTTTCAGGTCTCCTTTTTTTGGCAACATGATCAAGATTGATTTACACCAATCTTCTGGCCATTTTCCACTGTCCCAGATTTCTTGGCAGATTTTGTGAATCTCATTACATACAATTGGTCCTCCCGCTTTGATCAGCTCTATGGGAATTCCGTCTCTCCCTGTGCTCTTGTTGTTCCTCATTTTCTTCATTGCTTTTATTAGTTCCTCTAATGTTATTTCCGTTTCTTCCTCATTGACTACTTTTCTTTCTTTTAAAGCCTGTAACACCTCCTTTGTATACGTGTTTTTATCTGTGAACAGGTCCTTGATATATTCCGACCATCTATCTTTGATTTGTTGGCCTTCAGTTAGAACATTTCCATCCTTGTCTTTAATAATCCTTGACGTATTCTTCAGTTTTCCTTTTAACTGTCTGACTAGCTGATACGCCTCTCTTGTTCTGTTTTGTCCAACTAGTGCTTCTACCCTTTCGCATCTATCGTATATCCATCTTCTTTTATCTGCTCTGGCACTTTTCTTTATTTGCAACACAGTTGTTTATATTTCATCTCATTTTCATTGTTTTGTTTTTTTGTCGCTTTCAGCTGTCTTCTTTCCTCTACGAGTTTCCAAGTTTCATCACTTATCCAGGGTTTTATTATGTTTTTCCCTACTTCGCATTTTTCGGCTGCAGTCTTAAGCACTTTCTCCAAGTTACTGACTCTTGTTTTCATATCGTACTTTGTTTTTGTATCCAATTTGTTTTCTATTACATTTCTGATGTCTTTCAACTTCTCTTTTATCATTTCTGTGCTATATTTCACTCTTTTGATATTTTCGCCTGACTTTAGTCTCTTCGTTATTTTCATCTTGACGTTGCATAACACTAGACGATGATCTGATCCAATCTCTGCACTTGGAAAAGCACGGCACTGAGTAACAAATTTCATCCATTTCTGTTCTATCAAAATCAAATCTATCATGTTCGTTGTTTTTCCATCTGGTGATTCCCGTGTCCATTTTTTTGTATTTTGTGTTTTTGTATTTGTTATATACATTTTTTGGTCCTTTGCAAATTCCAGCAGTCTTTCTCCTCTATTATTTCTGTTTCCTATACCGTATTTTCCCATGACTTCTTCAAAACCAATATTGTCTCTTCCGATCTTTGCGTTCCAATCTCCGGTGATTATCTTAACATCTTTCTTTGGCAGTACATTCAATGTTTGCTCCAGTTGATCGTAGAATGCCTCGATTTCTGCATCCGAGTGATCCATTGTTGGAGCATAGACCACTACCACATCAATGTCTCTCGGGTATCCCTTAAACCTCGCATACATCATTCTTTCATTCACTGGATTGTACTCCAACAGTGCTTTTTTGCCAATAACCATTCCAACTCCATAGACGTGCTCCCTCTCTGTTCCAAACCATAATATCTTCCCACCTTCCATTTCTCCACCTCCTGTCCATTGGACCTACCCCATATGAACCACATCTTATCTGAATCGTTCAAGTTCTTTCTTCATCAACGCGTAAGCCCCTGTCTACCACAATGACCTGACATTCCAAACTCCAACTGTCAACTCCATCTTCAGTCTATCTTTCTGGGACTCAGTAGCATACTTTACACTGCAGCCTCTAGTCAGATTTTGTCAATATCTGTTCTTTATCTATCAGCAACGTTTTCCAACATTTTAAGTCATCAATTCATTCACTCTATAAAACAACATAAACTGGCGCGAACAACGTTCCTATACTTCCAGAGGTAATTCTATCATATGCTTCATTGTAAAAAAAAAAAACTTTCTTTCTAATCGCCAGCGTCTTTGCCAAGTCAAAACGCATTCTGCATCAAATCAAGAAGTCATGGGATAGATTTTACAATCAAGTTTTCTAATTGGGACTAATATATCTGCCAAACGTAATATCTCAGGTCTTCAAAATTGCTGACATCTACCATTGGCTTAGCCAGCTGTGAAGCTACTAACAAACTGAAAAAAGCAGCCTAGTCATTTAATGATTTTGCTTTATTTTTCTGAACAGCAGCATACATGTTATCAATCATAATCTGAAAATTTTCTGAGTGTTCCCGAGCTGATGTTGGCAGCTTGGCACCTGTATAAAGTTGTCACATGTCTAGAGCTACATTACCAGTCTAACGATATTAAATGCAGTAAAGATAACGTCCATCTGTTTGTTATTTGTTTATTCACATTTACCAGATAAAGGTCAAAATCGCCATCATCAGGAAAGGAAAATTTTTCAAAACTAACCCCTACAGCATTTCTTTAAAAGACTGTCGCTTTTAGCAAGATTGATGTAAAGCAGTTGTAACAAACAACGAATTGGCTGTTGAAATTTGCTTACGTATATATTCAAAACCATGTTTCTTTTAGAGCACCCATCTTCAAACAAACACAAAAAACAACGGTCTGCGATAATCTAATTTCGGTAAGTTGACATAACTGTCTGACGAACTGCGCCATGTTTCTGTCAGTCTCGTTACATCAATTTTATGCTGTAGCAGACTTTTTTTTAATAAGTTTTAACCGAATAATAAAATTTACTTTTTTAAAGTTCCATAATTTAAAAATAAATAATACTTTGCACAAGTCCAAGTGTCATAGCAGGCTTCAAGTTATCATCAAACAATAGCAATTAATTTGCAGTATGTAATTTAAAACAGCAAAATGAAGGATTTTGTATTTAATTTTTAAAGGTTAAAACATTTAAAATAGTTTAGAAACCAGTAAAACCTTTAAAAACTTGAAATTAAACACCCAAATAAAGATTGAGAAAAACTATATAAATATATTATAAAACCACTGAAAGTTTGTTTTTTGAATATATTTTACCAAATTAAGCAAAAAATTATAAACATTATAAAACAATTTCATTAAATACTGGTACCTCTACTTTGGCCATTCTGTTCCCTTAATACAGTGCATTCTTCTATAGTTCCAAACGGAGCAAACAGCAATCTAACATCATTTTCGGTGCACTTTTTTGAAAGCATGCCCACAAACAACTTTCTCTCTTCAACTAAGTTTTAAAAAAATGAAATGATTAACATTACTTTCATTATGCTAAAATATTCATCACTCGTGAATTTCATCGATTGAAAACTTTATTTCCTTAAAACTTATTTTTGAAAAAAATGTTACAGAAATTAAAAGAAATCAGACGTGAATAGTTGTAAATCTTGAATGGCAACTACTTTTCAGTACCCTTAGGTACCTAAGAGAAAATTTTTTAAGTGTTCGACCAAAAAATGAAAAAATTACATATTTATTTTTTAGTGAGAATAAGGTCAAAAATAATAAAATGTTTCAAACAAATAGAGGAAAGAACATGTTTGATAAAAAAAACTGTAAGATGTAAAAAAATTGAATGCTTATGATTAGTATCAATAGATTTCCACCTAACCAAAAATTACATGTTGGTTTATTATAATTATAATAAAAATTATAGTTTAATGTTTTATGGCCATTTTCGTTTCATTTCTTTTATCATATAGCATATACTGCGACAGAAACACTGCATAAACCTAATGTTAAATATATATTCTTTTCCCATGGACTTATCCTCGGCCATGAGTATAAGTGGATCGTGTGAGGTGGCGCTGGGAAATTGGAGAATAATACTTTCAAAAAATCCAACATAAAATGTAGTTGTTGTAAATATTCTGGGTGTAATTTAAATTGCAAATGTAATATGTTAAAAAAAAGTAAAACTAGGATTATTGAACATTAGGTCAGTAAATTCTAAATCTGAGATAGTTTATCAATTATTGATGGAAAGGTTATATAGGTTAATATCCAATTAACAGAAATCCGATTTTGACCACCTGCCTGTGCTCCAATGTCAAGAAATAATAATAAAAGCGATAAACTATCATATTCTAAGAACCCACAAGAGTATTGACTATGAATGAACAAAGTTTGTGAACCGTTAACAGCTACGAAGGCGTATTTGCTGCAAAATTGCTTTTAGCAATACATTAAGAAACAGTAAAGAAGAAACTTTTAGTATTAAAGCTTCATCTACTTATCCGTTCATTAAACAACTACACAGAAAAAAACTTTTTCGATTAAAGTTTCATATGTCCATTGGGCAATTGTTATGTAATTGTCATGTTATGTAATTAAATCTACAATTTACTTACTTGTATCTATCTGCAAGTGTTGATTACGTTATTAAACTCAAATTTTATAAATACAGTAGGACCTCCTTATAGCGAACTTCTATTAAAAAAAATCTCTATGTAACGAATTTTTCTTATGTCCATTAGAATTTTACATATAAAACTATTTTTATAGAACGAAAATAATTTTTCTATAACAAACAAAATTTATAAAAGTTGAAAAAAATATCCGACGAGCAATCATTTTATGAATTGATAGTAGATGTGTTGTTTTACTCCTTTAATATCTTAGAACCCTTTTTATTGTTTTGTGTTCTAGTATTCTTGTAATTTTTGCAAGTTCTACCTAAATTAATTAAAATGGAATTGGAATCATCGTTGCACGGAACAAATAACAAATTTCACTTTAAAAAAAGTTATTTTTTAAAATTATTCCATGTATTTGTTATAACCGACCCCTTGAACTTGTAGAGTATGGTTATTTCTCTCTACGTGGATTCTTGACTCCTCCTGGACAGACTTATTTCGGATGAATTTTATCAAAAAGAAAACAGTGCTGGCAATCACTTGTGTGTATTGCTATGATCAATCACCCATTTATTCAATCGATAAAATCGTTAGAATACAGCACAATAACTAATCGACGGGTAAATCACGGAATACAACTATTCGTCAGTAGTTAAGCTTCTCTTGTCGGACTAATAACATCGAGTTTTTTAGCCCTGGTATTCTTTACTGCAGTGAGTTTCCAGCTATCAAAATCTTACCTCTGTCACCAGTGTGTAATCTCCTGAAGATCCCACTTCTAACATCAGTGTTGTAACTTCTTCGACCTCGTAACTACCAACACCGATGTTATAGCTTGAATACTCGCTATATCTCCAACACCAGGTTGTAGCTTCCAACGATAATCAAGAGTTCGTTTAACCGTAGGTTCAAGATTTCCGATAGATTAACACAACTACTTTAAACACAAACTAAATTGAACGTTTATTTAATACCAGCAGTAATAGAAACAATAAATTAATCCAAATAACTACGTAAATCACATTTACGACTTCTACGTCAACTGCCGTTCCGTCTTCTTCTTACCTGTACTCCTCGTGTTGTGTCTCCGTCTCTCTCTCTCTCTAATCTTGCTTTTGGCGTTGTTTATATAGCTACTGATGCCGTGTCACGTGACTTTTATAACCGTTTTAATTACCTATGCCTTCTAATAAATTAGCAAGCGCTTCACGCAATTTCTAACTACTAGTTCTTATTTCGCTTTCACATCTGTAGCATATTATTACTTTTGTTATCAAAATAAATGATTAGGATATTGTTTTTCATAAATATATAGCGTATAAACAACTTTTAAGCAATACAGTATTTTTTCTTGAACAAATTCTATATAACAAAATTTTTATATAACGAATTTTTTTCCTGAAACCGAGGTCCGACTGCAGTCAATAAACAAAGTAACACAATTAAAGGCTTCAGTATCCTTAACAATAACTTGATTAAACAAACAACTTAACATTGCAGTTAATTAATTGTAATCAATCGAATCCTATTTTGTAAACCTTGGGTTCGAATACTTGATAAAATACATCATATTAAAAAATCTAAATAAATTATAATATACCTCGTTTTTCACTATCTGCTGGTTTCATTTGTATTGGATGCTGCATCTTTTAAAAAATAGTTAGCAATCTTGAATAACAAGTAAAAATATATAATAACAACAAAAACCTGAAAAAATATTCAAAGTAGTTCAGCAGAATATTCTGTGTAAAAACCATACTGACTTTTCTAAGAATTATAAACTATCTAAGCTAGGCTTAAATGCCTGAGCTGTAGTAGCTGTTACAGCCAATCCAGTTTATCCTAGCATTCTATCACTCTTGAGCTGAAAAAACGACTCTTCAATGATCCCACCTAAGTTTATATCAGTGACCGCTTATACGTTGAACCTTTTCTAACGAGTTTGTCTTTTTGCCAATAAGAACTAGAAAAATGTAACCAATATTCTAGTTTAAGTCTCACTGGATTCTAGCACAAATTAATTAAACATTATTGATTTGACACGCTGACAAACGTCCTTTTTATCAGGTTTCATTTGCTATTTTTGCTGCTTTAACACATTGTAAAAATGGGTTTCTGCTTTAATGTACAAGCCCTTCAAGAGGTTCATCACCAAACTTTGTTTTTCCTCCCCATATGCACCACTGAGCATTTGTCTCCATTGAATGTCATCTGCTCATTGGTAAAGTTTTTCCTGGGTCTTTTTGTAGTTCATTTAGCCCCTCATCATTATCCACAACCGCACAAAGCTTAGTAGTATCATCT